GAACTTGTACGGCAAGCTCGTTGACACTTTTCCGCTCTTCACTTAATAGGCTACTAATAAACGACAAGTCGATTGCTCAATTAGTCAACATCTACGGATCCTGGGCTAATGAGGATGTACCTGGACCTCTAAATGTTTGAAGAGGAGCAATTACAGCCCTTGAGTTCCTCCTACACTTACGGGTTGATGGTTGTTTACAGGGCGTGAGCGCTGGTTCTCCTACTCACCATAATGAAACTAATGTACACTGGTTCACCCTCAAAGCTACTAAGATACACCCCAGATGTGGAAAAGTTTTAAGAATCTTATAACAGAAAAACTATGTGGCCAATCACACGTGTACATGTGAATGTACATAAAGTTCGGATAGGTCTAAAAGTATAGGAACTTCTCTTTTTTCCAAGCTGGTCTGCATAGTGCCTCCCCTTCTCATATCTGCTCGTGCCTCTCCTTGCTTTCTTATTTACAGCAACAGCTCGATGAGGACATCTGACGCTGAATTTCAATCTGGACATATCTACTTATTGGAAGTAACACCTGCCATTTGACCCCAAGAATTATTGGACTGCTCCCAACTGTCGTGGTTTCTGGAACATCTTCACAATCAACTCATCAGCTGGCCAGGATTCTTCTTTTGACGAACCGTCTAAATTTTCCCAACAGCCACAGTGGCTCAAATATTTTGAACGAATGATCAAACGAGAGATCAAAATACCTAGTTGCTTGGAATATGACTTACTTGCAGTAATTCCACACTACATGTTCTGTAGTACTCTGTATCAAGTGAACTTTTCAAGTAAAAGTTGCAATGCATCAAAAACACTTCTCGAATGATGTTGCTTACGCTAATATGAACGATGCCTGAGGCCTATGTATAACTGCTGCCATTCGGACTATTAACCGTTTCAACGTCTACCCCATCTGCTACTAGGAGTATTCCCAGTGGAATTAATGCATGTTGCCTTTAAACATAACAGGGTGAATTGGAAATTCATTGATTTTGATACTCACCCTGGCTATATGACTTTGGACACTAACCGATACTCCAGATAGTATAAATAGGCCCTTTGTGTCTAGCAAAGCTAAAAAACTGGAGAACTTTCCAGTGAATGGGGGTTTATATTACTAAATATGAAACTATGTGAGTGGGCTAACAACGTCATCTGGTTATACCACAAGCTCCGAACATTGCGCGCTTTTGCCATTGATAGTGGAACCTATCTGTGTGATGGCAGATGGAAATCCGTACCCGTCTCTTGATTTGCAGCAAGTTTTAACAAGGTTATGCGTGTCAACGACTTGGTATGTGTGTTATATAGCTCCCGGCAGTACTCTGTAAACTTTCAAAATCATCATTTTGACGGTGATTTTGAACTGGTATCTGTCATGTTAATTCCATTATATGGGAATAAGGTTTTTATTATCCTCACTTTGACGCACTGCATATGCTTAATGTGGTATTTTCTTTGTCATGTATCTGCGATCTGATGTTTCTGATGGAGTTATATGACCTTCCATCTGTACTATTCTGGGGATGTAAAATTTTGTAGACTTGTCGACATATATCAATGTGATGATGCCTGTAAACTGGCTTCTCTCGCCTTTAATTACTATTGTGAGAATAAAACTTTATCATAACTATTGTTACATTGAATTTTCTTGTTTCTAGCATACCAAGGTTCCCATTGCCTCACTCCTTCAAGCCAAATTTTGCTTCACACTCACGAGTATATGCACGCCGTTTAGTTATTCTTTATCTCCTAGATTCTCGTTTAGACATTTCGACTGATATAACCCGTTGGTCACATAGGTGGTTACAACCCTATTCTTTGTGCTTATCGTGTGTTCAGGTCAAAAAAGCTAGCGTCTTGGTGCATGACTGCATCCGTTCAGGTGAAGGTTACCCGTTGCAGTTGACTACTGTTGGATAACCACTACCTTTCGTCACCCAAATCCCCCCACTTCATATTCTTCTGAACCCAATTCCCCTTCTGCAAACTATGACTCCACGGTTAAAATTCACTGACTGCTGTATCCTCATAGTTTGCCATTGATAAGATAGATTGATTTCGTGCGACTACTTTTGCTTCCGGATCTAGGTTCCTTTTCTTTGATTCTTCTGTTCATATTTTATTACACATGACTTAGATAATGTATGAATTTTTCCATAACCCTTTGTGTCTGTGTTTATTTTTCTTTTTGACGGTAAGGTTTACAATGTAACCGCCGCATAACAACTGTTTGGCACATCAATCAAAGTTTAAGGCCGAAACTGAAATCGCATTCAGATATGTTAGTATCAAATACTGTTTGCGCCGGAACACGTAGGCTCTGCGACTCATGACAGTCACTCGCCTTGTAATGAAGTAAACCGAGACTAATACCATAAGAAGCGCCGGTCCTCAGGGCATAGGATGCAGTTTAATGACCAAACCTTGAATGTCATCTGCCGTAATATGCCAACAGTGTCTGGTTAAGGTCGCATCTTCTGTTTGATCTATCTAAATGAATCCGTTCTTAATGACGTGGACCTTGAAGGTCAATACATGCTGCGTGACACCGTATTACTGTAGTCAAAAATGTTACCATCAGTCGATTTCAGAATTCGGTTCTGTTTTTGCGCTTCCTCTGTAAACAACGGAAATCTGTCGAATACTCGCGTTTTTAGCTTCATTTGTCCTCAGCGCTTGATATACTACGTGCGCTTACTGATTATACTGTTCATTAACTGAAGCGTTGGAGCCTAAACACCATTCTCAGGCTGATGCTCGTACTGAGTGATAACGCTGGTTTTTTCCTCACTTTTGCTATGTGGCGAAGACGTTTTTAACTATTATTTGCGACCAGCAATATCCAAACAATTTCATATGCTGGAAGACCATATACGGTGTGACGATACATTTCTCTTAAATCTTCTTGGCACTCTGAGAACGATAACGTTCAGATATTGCCTATAAAGTGGTGTATTCGTCGAATAATGTCAGCAGCGACGTATTTCGAATAACAGATTGTCTGAACACATGCCGTTTTTACAGGTAACGTTATTGTTATCGGTGAGGCTGAGAAAATTTGGAAATAACACATCGCCACACCATACATAGTCTGCCAGGATGCAATTATTCACATGTTGCTGGTTAAAAATATTGGATGACACAACAACACATAGCAGTAGTAAACAGTGACACATGCATTGCCACCCAGTATGAGCTTTGCCCGTTCAACTGTGATTAGGCCTCAACACTTTAGTTAATCAGTCACATAAACAGTAAAAATACATAGGATGTCAAATGCCAAGCACAAATGAGGCTGAAAGTATGCGAACAACCTATAATTTTCGCTGTTTACAGAAATCATCTAAAACTAGGTTTAAATCCTGGTGTGGACCGATGACAAAGCTTGGGATCGGTGCCAGGCAGCATATGGTGATTGTTTGGGTCTATGCCGCTGAAAACAAACTGATAAGAATAAATTCAGCTGAGGTTGTAACCCAGTCCAAAAACCTTCCTCATTTCGCGGCTAACGAAGCGTAAAGTCTCACCACTAAACCATTTAGGTCGGTGCTTCATAAGAGATCAGTTTCAGTTCCCCTCACCATGAGGTGAGTGGCCGTTATTGGTGTGAGAGCCTACACGCTTGGATACAAACAGTATGAAATGCCAGCGCTCCTGGATGCAGTGCTAAATGGAACCATAAATTTGAGTTTAACTGTCAAATTGATAGCTTTGCAGATGTCTCATTGTGAATCTGTCTATGAGAAAGAAAAAGAAACGTGGGTATGGAACAACTTATCGTGTATTTAAGTCAGGCAGTAACGAGATATGAACAGAATAATCAAAGTAAGGGAAATCAGACGTAGGTTTATGAGTTGCTGGACAGGACTTATTTGTCCTATCAAAATTAAGTATGGCGAAATACTAGTCACTGACTTCCAATGCACGATAAACACAAAGTATGACACTGAGACTATTCGTCTCAACGGTGGAGCATATCAATCGACACGTCTTATGGAGAATTCAAGAGACAGGGAAAAAGTAACCGTCATGCATGCGGGCGTATGCAAGGGCCTGTTAATGAGAAGTAATTTTTGGTATAAAAAAGTGAGGTTATGGGAGTCTCCGCGTTTAGAAAATAAGACGATCTGATGCACAGACGTTTGCGGGGAATTCTGAGGGCACTTTTCAGGAATACAACTAAGTGTGTTTGGATGTCATTTGAAGTCAGATGAGTATGCTGTTCACTTTATGGGCTACCCTACTGCGGTGAAGCCGGTTGTGCAACGGAAAGGAAACTGCCTGATACACAGGGTTCTCACTGTTCCAAATTAAGGGCTATTTAATTCATTGAATAAAACTTAGAGATCCCGCCTACACTTGTCATTAAGTTACAATGAGTTTCAATAACTTGAGGACACTAGGGTCCTACAGAGTCACATCTGAGTGCTGATTTTGTGAGGCGTCTACCTATCAGCCGACTGTGGATGCCGTCTGAACCTAAAAGCAAGTTGACGGGTCGCCTAAATTAGGACACAGGGATGCTGACACGCGCGGTTACAGTGGACCTATTCCGGGTCAACCTGTGATATGTGGTGAAGAGTTTACATCTGATTTGTTTATTGCATCTCTCTATTGCCGATGTCAGTGTCTGACTTTTACGGTCATATGGCAGTGCATATCTCCGAGAGGGTGGGGAGGAACAGTATGACAGACCAAGCAAAGCTTTTGTACAAGAGGACTACGTTGTTTCTTAGAGGCAATTTCCACAGTAGTCTAATAGACAGTATGGTGCACTCATCTATGTAGTCTAAATTACCAGCGCAACTCAATAACCGTCCGGTGAAACTCTTTTAAGCATACTCAAGCCGTGATTTGTCAGTTTTGTTCACGCCAGAAAAAGGAATGGGCGATATTCCAATATTGGTCCAGTACAAAGCTTGAGCAGGGCAAGTTTGGCCAATTTTACTTAATTAATTATTCGAAGAAGAAGAAATGAAGCTTAAACTCTGGGTTGAGACTATTTCCGATGTTGAATTGTTTGAAAGACTAAGGGTTTGGTTGCTGTACATAATATATTCAAATAATAAAGACCCTTAATCCGCAGTTTGAATTTCAAGGTGATACACTTCGACATACTGTTCATGATTGTGTTCGGTTTGGAGAAATGATGGTTGATATCCAGCCGTCTGATGTATGTAACGTTTGCTTCCAGTACAATCTGGGAGAGTCTGTGATAAATTGGCGCATCAGTGCTGTTGTTCCTGTTTCTTCGGTGGTATTTGGATACTTCTGTTACTATTATTGTGCATAATTTTAACTCTTAGCTTCATTATCACGTTGTTCTCCCGCTTTCATTGGCAATGGAATCACTTTGCAGGAAACAAGATTTACTCAATAATAAGTTGTCGGCGCTTGATCGTTACACAAATCGACTTCGTGAAACATTGATGCTTCCAAGTAAATTTTATTGCTTGAATGTGAAACTAAATTAGTGAATCTAGATACAAAAAAAGAGGATGCAAATCAGGTTGGTGGTAGTTAATTTGGAAACGATTTTCTGTTTCCCTACAAGTGTTGAGTTTCAATGAGATGTTAACTATAACTATAACCTTTAGTGTTTCGATCATTCAATAACTTTTTCATGTCTGATCGAGATATAAGAATTTGCCACATTTTCTAACTGAGGAAAAGGACAGAAACGGTTTCTGAAGATAAAAGAAGGTTGGGTATAGAAATAAGCTACGAGGAGCCGTTTTCAAGAATGTTTCGGTACAATTATCATTTCCACTTTCTTTTCTAAAGACACTAAGCACTCCTTAACAGGATTTGGTTCAAGAGGTAGAAGTGTAGTGGGTTGGTGTTTATTGATTCAGATGTCTACCCAAGTTGCTTTTATCTTTTTCTCGAGTCGGCATGCCGCATGTAGTCCAAACCGAAGCAGGCAGAAACAGTGATTATTAAATGGGGTAGTTCTGCAAATAAGATGTTTCTTTTCGGTTCAAAACTGTAGCACACAATACGCGGGGTTGATTGAAGGCTAAGTGAAGGCCTAAGTCGCAGTAAGATTCAAACCAATGGCCCCAGGATCGCTATTGAGGATCAATTGACTGAGCTACAAGACCCATCGCCTTTCCATAAAATAACAATCGGTGACCTTACTTTCCCTGTCCTACAGCCTGCATTTGAATGTTACTGAAGTTAAAGTGGAAAGACCAAAGTGAATTCCAATTATACTATGGATGTCAACTGTGATTCATATACTTTGCATATTTTTGTGTGATTTTAAGGTAAGTTCAACGTAATTTTTTTTCTCTGACTTCGCTATTGCGCATACGATCTCAGTTGATTCTACTGAAAGGTACCATTGTTTGATGTGGCAATTAGATATCAAAGTAATGATAATAATAATATATTTCTTACAACACAGTTTACTTGAAAACAAACCAGTTTACAGTTTTGATCATCTTGGTTATGAGAAATGATTGTTATGTGCAATGTCAAGCTGTACAATAGACACCGTTTTTCTCGGTACATGCAATATGCGCCTAGGGGAAGAACGTTCATGCTTCGAGGACAGCAAGGAATGAAATAGATGATCACTAGCATAACTGTCCATCATACTGATGCAAGCTCAATTAGATAGCAGGAATTACTCGGCCATTGTCTGAATCTTCCGATATTCTTGAGGGTAGGACGGGTGTTACGGCCGTGACCTTGGGTTGTATGTTTTCGTCACGAAGTTTTGATGGCATAGTGCACGCTGACAAATTAGACCACTAGAATTCCATATGGATAAAGGTCTGGTTAGACAGACCTGAAAATGAATAATGAAAGCAAGAGGCCGGCGAAATTCGAAACAGGAGCGCAGGAATACTGAGCAGAAGTACATCTACCGTGATACATATGGGTGAGTTCATTGTACTGACCACAAAAGTAACCTGAAGAAGTATCCAAAACCTACTGTTTAGAGGTAAGCTCGTGAAGAAGAAGAAGAAGAAGATGAAGGTGCATACGAAAGTAATGGAAGCTAAACTGAAGCCGAAGATACCACTGGAATAGAGGGCATAAGGGATTTTGGACCAGGTATTCGCTTGTGTGCAGAAAACCCATGTGCGAAAGTTTAATGAAGTTATAAGTATTTGAATAAAACTCAAAGCTTTTTGCTGTAATGGTAACCACACTCTATATGGTCGTGGAGGAGGGGTGATCGTGGTGTTGCCTGTTGAGTGCTACCATATCAGGGCTATAGAGACAATATGGGGTGAATAGTGAGCTCAGCTGGCAGATCCCGCGGACTTATTTTTGGTAACCTCATTCTTTTTGCCACTATTTTGTCTTCATAAGTACAAGAACCGTAGGTTTCATAAAGATGCCGCCATACGGGCAGGGGTAGTTCAAATTTATCTCCAAACCATCATACCTGTTGGTCAGTTATCCCCATCTTCACATATTTTCACATTAATTTTTAGAATATTCTTGTGCTACGCTCAATAGGGTTAATGGTTACGACGATATTTCCAGCTTACTGTCAGCCGGCTAGGACCATGCACACGTTATTGATTCAATCGTCCCTTGGTATATACCACACATCAGGCAACACTTATGACCGTTATACCTCCAGTCATGCCATGGTCAAGCTTGGTTTATCACACAAAACTGACTTGTACTACAGTGCAGCACAAAGGCCCTCACCTTATTACAAATGAAAAAAGAACGTTGGGTGGAGTGGTTACTTGTAGGAGGGGTTATTAGCAGCTGAACTGTGGCAGCACTGAGGTTAAGATCAGTAACCAGCATCAAACACAACTACCACAAATTCGCATAGAATAGTATGTGATTCAACAAAAATTACTCACCGTTTGATAAATTCTTGGGTGGTTGCATTCGATTATTGCTTACTGGACTTTAGATATTCGATGGGCCAATAAGGACCATGGCGTCGTCTATGTAGGGTACATTAAGAATCCTGCACACTCCAGGCTCATTGAGTCAGTGGCTCAAGGTCGACTGAAACTGAGATATGGTCTCGCAGCATCGAACGTCATGCGGCAGTCTGTTCCAAATGCGTAACGAGTTGTGAAAAATGAAGACTTCAGCCGTTTGGACGCGCGTGGTAGTGTGACTAGGCAGTCTTGGTCTCCAAGATCATAGGGTTTCTGCCAGCGAACTTTACTGTATCCACATTGGTAGTCACTTCATGGTGTAGGACTTCATAGAAAATGCTGAGGTTCAACTTTATTCGCCTCAGCCATATAGGCTCTAACCGATTAGCATGACGTCTGCCTCCGTATGAATTACCTGGGGAAATAAGCCTGGTAAAGTATCGTTGGGTTCTCCCTATTTTCTGATTGGCACTAGACCTCAGGGAACTAAGTGCGATAGGACAGCGTTCTATTAGCGGTCACACGCACATCTTATGTAGAATCAGTTTGGTTCCATTCAGGCGAGAATCCCGGTGAATAAAGCCGATGAGGCGACGTCATTTGCAGCACTGTGCCGTTGCGTGTTCTGCAAAGGAAAGGTCACTGGAGTACCTTACTCCAAGATGGCAAATACTACCTAGCTGTTGGAGTGCAGTCTTGTCCAGTAGAAGATTAGCTGGCACGCTTTGTTCACAGAAGAGCATAAAGCCAGACTTGTGTGTATTCAGAGGTGGCAGCCACGTGTCACACCATCTTTGTAGCTTGTCGAGATCGTTTTGTATGGTGGTATTGATGCTGCTACATTGGTTAGGGTGAAAAGTGTACAACACTTTCAAGTCATCTACAAAGAGGAAGGTTTTCCCTGATTGAAAGCAGGCGCATATATCATTTATATGCATTATAAAGAGGAGGGGTCCGAGAACGGAGCCTTGGACAACTCCACTGGCGATATTTTTGGGAAGGGAACAATATGAGCCTGTTTTGACAACTTGGATGCGGCTCAGCAGAAATGAGCCGATCTAGTCATGCAACTTGCCACTTATTCCAAATGAATTCGGTTTCCGAAAGAGTGAGGGGTGATGCACTTTCTCAAAAGCTTTGGTGAAATCGAAGTAAAGCGAGACAACCACGTTTCCATCGTCTCTACTGTTAATTGAGTGTTCGAAGAATTCTAGGTGACACGTGACACAAGATTTCCCAGATAGAAATCCATGCTGCGAGGAATTCATAGGTTTGTGATCTGAGAGGTGAGAAAAGATGGCGTTTTTCACTACTTTCTCCATTATACGCGAGAGGACAGATGTTATGTTAATGGGGCAGCAATCTTTCGAGCAGATTTTGGAGCCTATCTTAAAGCACGGGATAATATGACTAGTCTTCCATGAAACGGTGAATTGCCAGAGTTTAAGGACAGGCCGAATATTTTTGCCAGCAATATGGGAAGTGGGCGCTGCCGTTTTTAATGAACATCCCAGGTATCCTACGCACTCCTCCACCAAGACAGGGTTCAAGTGAGTTTATTGCATCACGCACTTTGTTTACGTTAGACTCAAGTTCCGGGAGTTTATGTGCTCCAGTGTCACTGAGTGTGACAAGGCCGCAATTACAATTAGTGAAAGAAAGGCTATACGTTTCGCTTAGTTTCAACAAATTCAGCATGTTAGGTCTATTACAGAGATTCATTTTAAGAGAGGTGGCAAGAAGACCAGTTTTATTCGCATATTTCAGAACTTCATTCTCAGTGACGGTTTCACCTTTTCGTCTGTGAACTTGTTAGAACCATTTTTAGACTGTCAACAAGAATTTATTGAGCACATAATCACACTCAAGACCATGGAGTTATGCTGCTACCGGATATTGAGTTTGCTTGTATAGCTGTTAGTACTTTTCATAAACAGTGCAGAATAAACTTCACGCATCATAGTTTTGATTTTATTGTGTGTATTGAAAATATTCGTTGAACTGAGATTGTCTACTACAGTTGTTCTGGTGACGTGCTTATCATTTGCTTCAGTTCAACTTATTTTTTGTAAATGTGTACTGAATTGGATAGCTTACCTACCAGTTAGAAATTCTAATGTGTCTACACAGATTAAACACTTTCATTTCGCCATCTTTTCTTTACAATGGCTCATTGCTAAGTCTCGTTCATCCTTTTATTTTTCTTTCATTACCAGGATTTTGATTTGACATATGACTTTTCAGGGGGTTTATTACCATCATCAGTCAGTCGGAACCTTTTCTGCGAGGCGTCTAAACATCTATTCACACCGGAAAGTAAGTGTCAGTAAAATTATTAACCCAGCTAGTGGAGAATGTTTCGTTGTCTGAGATACAAATGGTGCCTGGATGTGAGTCAAAGGAAGATCTAAGTACAAGTGATTTGGTAAGCTTCTTAGAATCGAGTGACTTCAATTTTTTCATGCATTGTACCACGTATGATATTAGTTTTCATTACGTATCTGCTGTGACCGATAGTGCGACCTAGCAGTCTACAAGTGATGTGAACCTAACGCGCAGAAAATCTACCTTAATCGGCGATCAGAACGTCAACCAGCATAACAACAGTACCACCTGCACGCGACGGTCAAAAGAGAAGATGGACCAGTGACATAGGGCTTTAAATATTTCAACAACAGTCACAACAGTCGAGAGTGATGCAAAAAGTATACATTCTAATCGACCTTGACAAACGCTGAATTCACTGATAAGTTGAAAGAGTTAACCGGTGAGAGTTCAGCCTTCAGAAGCAGTGGGAAAAACAAAAGCTATCACCGGCACCAATAGAGCGCGAAAACGGCTGGAGAAATATTGGAGTCCTGGGAGCACCAGATAGTTTTTTCCTTGTATAGGGCTCCTCAATGCACATCCCTGTGATCCTACCAGGGGGTTGAACCTAAGGCTTTCAGGTTCCGCGTCCACCAGGTCACCGTTGAGCGCGGGGTCGGAATCTGATGGTGACGATGGGTAGTGTCTAGCATTGTAATCCAGGACCCGCGTCACGTCTTATTTCAAACTCTTCAGCTGGATGCACTTGACCTCCTCTGGTGAGTGACACTGTTCCCACTAAAATTTAACCTCAATGCTCATCGCTTCAAAAAACACCAGAGCGTTATCCCTGGGGCCGCTGACTCACCACAACCACTGCTTGACAAATTCATGTGAAGTGTCTTAACTACCGAACATACTTCAAATCGATATACACTGGAATAGTTTGTGGATGTAACACTTCACCATGGAAGATAATAAATATTATATCTAACTTACAGTGTTATCACAAAGAATTTGGCAGATAACATACAACAAAAAAGTTGTGTGAACTTTAATTCTGTGCTGCTAATACTACTACGAGTACTCCATATTTCGGCTATTTGTTACATGGTGTGCGAGAGTCGAAATCCACTCAGCTGCCTTTGCACATTCGTGTGGTAGGCAACAAGTCACACCTAAAGTGTGAGGGTCGATGTTACCGCCTGGTTGCCCATACATCGGTAGGTGAAGCAGTGTTCGAGCCCGTGGTACACTGGCTCAAAGTCAACTCCATAAACCAATGAGCCACATCTCCACACACACACACACACGGTGCACATATAGGTCTAATGTTTAGGAATGTAAGCAAACTCGAGAAGGAAATTGAAAGAAGTGTGCTGATTAAACTTTAATTTTGAGGGGGAACAACTTACGGAGAGAGAGAAACCTATGCTCAAGATCCAATGTATTTTTCCGAATCTTTTCATTTGTTTATAGGAGGCTGAGACGAAACGAAGAAATGAACTTCATAAAAAGTTGGCAGGTCAACTTGTCAAGTCTAAGGGTAAAGAAGTGAAAAGACATGGAATACTTCGCAAATAGCCAACACTTACTTATCCCCTTATAATAATTCATTTTCATTTGTCTGTGTCTTCCTTCGTGTATACTATTTTGTTGTCGTTGGTTGATGGTTCCTTGATTGATTTTGGGTTTGTTTCGTCACAGGTTGTAGATGGAGTTTGTATTCGTTGGGCAATTCCTTATTGGTGCATAGCCGATCGCAGAAATAGATTCCGTGTAGACGACATTTAGCATTCACCTTGACACGATTTAACCCCGTAATACGTGTTTTGTAACAATATTCCATCAATCTTTGTAAATCAAATACAACAGTATTCCAACCGGGATGTAATACTAATGGCATATTAGTAGTGAACGCTTTGATTGTTGTAATTCAACTGGAATTGCTTGCACGAAATCGTTGACGTACGCCTCCGTAATCTAGAACTTCTATCTGAAATGTAAAATATCTATCCATATTTTTGAATAGTAATACAAGTATGGCATACGAATGCCTGATGTTTGAGTTTGACAACCGGGACATTCAATGTATGTTGTTGACACGTTTGTCCCGCTTATATTTAAAACTAGAGAACGGATTTCTGGATCTAAAACACGTTGAATTGTTCCATATTTTGAACTTGTAGCCCAATTTATTAATGGTTTTTGACCAGCACTGTGGAAAATTGACAGTAATCTTGACTGATACGATGATCTATACATTGTGTTAGTATCTAATAACTCCTTGATCTGAATATTGATCGATTGTTCTATATTAAAGCAGATCGATTACGATAGAGTTGACTCATTGATCAGCTGTAAATGAAGATTGGTTCACTTCCACTGCAGTATGATGACTTTGGCTGAAGTATAGTTGATATGTCGATTGAAGAAAGGATGATAAACATAATAACCTCAAATAGGTGTGATCAGTCAATTTACTCATTTTTAAAAGGGATTCAACTGGAGATTTATTTTATATGATTGTGGTCTATAGGTTATCTTAAGAGCTTTTTATAACCCTTCACACCTTTGCGTACGTTTGTTGGCTCCGAGATAACTGTGCTTATTTTGATTAAGTCCAGCTATTGTGCATTATTCCATTTCTGACGTTTAAAATCAGTCATTTTATTTCTACAGCTTATGCTGTGTTGTGTGCATGGAACTTTACTAACTCAAATATCGTGGTATTAAGAAAGTGAGAACCTGACTCCGTCTTCTGTTTTAGGATTTTCTGATTTGGAGTTGATAAAAATGTCTCGACAGTTTATTGGCATTCATGTAAATATGCAGCTTTGGAAGTCAATCAGCCTATCATAATTCTCTTTGTTTATCATCAAGCACCGGAATACGATCCTCATTGATAGGCGTCATGCTGAATTGGCCCGCTGTCATCCATTAATTCAAATCTTTTGATCAACGTTACAACGGTTGTTTTTCATCTGGTTTTTGATTTTTGATGTGCTTTAAGCTTCTAATACTTTAGTGAATGTCTTACCTTTTCAACTGGCATCTCATCATAAATATAACAATTATTTCTGCTCCAGTTATCCTCGATATTACTTTCCACGCTTGCTTGCATGCTTGCTTCATTTATCTGGAAGCTTTGTCTTTCACTTCACTTTCTTTACGATCCTTTGCTTCTGGGAGCTGTGCCCTGAGTCTCACTATCTTTATGATGCGACTAACCAAAATGGCTGACTTCCGACGTGGCTCTTGAAGGTCTGCTCTGTTGTGTAGTCTTAGAACTGTTCACACAACTTTCTGCCAACTCAAGGGATACACGAATATCCGTTGCGCTTTACACGAGCCGCAGAGGACAGCTGGTTGGATCTATTGTATTAGTATTCAAGAAAGCCGCATAGGTGCCCAGTGTGACTTATAAGTAAATGTAGAGTCAAGTGGGTTATACAAAGTCATAACACATATGTTGAATACCATATTACTGAAACTCGTCCGCATTCTCCTTGGAAATAACCACATGTAAGCCTTCCTAATCGGATACTTCCTTTGACAGAGTAGCAGTTTTGCTGGAAAAAACGTTCTTCTACGGAGGGTACAATCCTCAGTCGGCCAGTACCAACACCTTCCAAACGGATAACTGTTGTGGGTCCGACTGTCCCTATCAACCGCTACAGCTCAGGCTGCTGCGTCTGCAGCGCTACTCATCCCACTCAGTCATACACCTTGGACTTGTGGGGAGCTTCGGGCACTCTTGAGTGTCGTGCAACTGGGCAACCCTAGGTAAGATTGGCAGCCTGCTTTATTTACGACTGACCTTCCAAGTTTCACTTGATACAACCATCTGTGTCGTTCAGATCCCCCTTATCACTTATGTAAATGAGTGACAACCGAGTTCCAGCCAAATCTGTTCTCAGGAACACCTTTAGTCAACCCCACCTCAGCCACTAACCTCCCAACCCGTGGCAGTAACCGGGGCTGGTGGCAAAAGGCTTAATGCCACCGCAAAAGGCCATGGATCGACCTCAGGGGGAGAGTCACAACCGCCAATTCCTTTGAAAAGCCGTATCGCTGCCCCACCGAACCCTTGCCATCTGGTTCATCGGACGGCATGTCTTTCTGGTACCACTACCAAAGGTCAAAGAGACGAGTGTCAGCACCGTTTCCCGGAAGGCCACACCTGTGAATAGCCCAAAAAGACCCAGACGACGGTCAGGCAAGCTACCAGCCACACTGTTCCCCAACCCTGAAGTCGCTTTAATGGCTACCCTAGCTGCGCGTCGGGAAAAATGGGTCGCGGGGGAAAAGAAGGTGCACCCTCCTACAAAACCCATTCACGGTATGCGACAACAGATGTGCAGATGACAGACCGACTTCCACCATCCTATTTAACGTCCCTGCGTGCCACGATAGCCTGCTTGGGGATGGAGAGCCTTTTGATAAACAACAAAGTCAAACGTTATGCTCCATACTGGGACCGGGCAGCTTGGAAGCAGAGCCGCGCCGGCTCCACAAAGGCAACTACTCACCTCAGGGAAAGCCCCTGCCGATGAGAGTGACCCTGAGCCTGGCTAAGGAAGTGGGAAAATTCTCGTTGCTGTCAGATCCGGCAGTCATCAACCGGTCACCCAGCATTAGAGCCGCGCCAGACCGGCCATGGTCAGCGAGAAAAGTATCTCGCGGGGCACCTTACACGCTGAGACCAACAACTATGGCTGTTCACGGAATACCGAAACTAATAACCGGCAGGTTGATGGAGAGGTATGCTAATGACAGCCAACAATGGCAGCGGCTGTCTACAAGGATAGGGTTAGGTGAAATAACGGCAGCAGTCTGCAGACTATCACTTTCCTCACATTTGACGACGATAACATCACCCAGGTTGATGACTATTAACTTCAGGCGTCAAGAACTTTTGGCCAAAGTGCTGCAAACTTGGTGCGCAGTAAAAGACAACATCAGCGGGAACGTTCTCTGCTGTGAAAGCACGTCCAGGACACTGTGGCAACAAACGATAGCCCCGCCTAGTGCTAAGATCACCATCACTGTCAGCAGACAAGATATTCAAACCAGCCTAGACTCTACCAAATCCCGAGAAACCATCGTGGGAAAAAACGCCATTGGGCTGGCTCCACTGGAGCTGGCTGTACTGTAGCAGGTTTCGCCATTGCCCTCGACCCCCTTCAGTCTGCCGCAACCAAAACGCCCCATGTTGTTAGGAACATATCCAAATGTCTTTACAAAAATGTGAGATGACAAAGAAGTAATATGGGGGAACCGCGGTCTCTCTGTCCCTACGTTGTTCCAAGGATCGTAGTGCTGACAGAAATGTGATTATCACTGGATATTAGTGGCATCGAAACTAGTATAGACGGTATGCGCCTGTTCGGTAGAGGCAGGGAGTTGGAGGAAGGAGGTAAGGAGGCAATTTTCATGAGTGACCATATTGAAGGTGAACGGGCAACTGAAGCTCTACTTTCAGAGCTCGAAGACTCCATCTGGTGTCACTTCAAGATTGGGTGCACTGCGTACCTGGCAGGGGGCGTCTACAGAACCCTACTGGCAACGTGGAACATAACCGGCAACTGCTGCAAATAATGCCCGGGGTGATGTCCATCGGATATGACAAGGCCATTATGGCCGGCGACTTTAATGTTCCGGCTCCCAATCTCGAGCAGGGCGGGGGGACCTCAAGCCGAAGGTTCGACCGAAACCTACTCAACACTGTCAAAAGGGCTGGGCTGCAAGAGAATATTGGTAATGACACCGGCTGGGGGTTGGGCGGAGAGCTGTCGAAACTGCGTTACCTTTTACCAGTGACCACCTACTGGTCAAATCGTTCAGGATCAAACAGCCCTTGGCAGCAGCGCTCACGGTGTGGTAGTGTTTGGCGTGGTATTCAACGAGCAACTGTCACGAGAGGGATCTCATCCTTTTCTTTGCTACAGCAAGGCAAACTACGTGGCGACGAACCAAGATTGCCGGAAGCACCATGGCCTCAGGAGTGGAGCTACCTTACGACTGATCAACATCAGGCACTAGCTAGAGATATCATCAAGGAGGCTATCCTTGAAAACGCCTCAGTAATCACAGCAATACCGCGGAAGCAAATCTCATGGCTGAAGCGAGGCGCTGAACGATTTTTGAAAACCAAGAGGAAAGCACTGCACTAGTAGAGGACTTCCGGAAAGCAGCCTGGCCATGCCGCACATACGGCCCTGAGAAATCCATACAATATCGAAGTGAGGGGGACAGGAGGTCGCTCCAGACGAACCTTGCCCAGAAGCTCGAGGTGAATCCCAAAAACCTATATCGATTTGTGGCAGGCAGAAAATCCACCAGCCAGGAGGCCTGCTTCCTGAAAGGCGTGAACGGAAAGAACCCTTCCGGACTAGAGACAGCCGAAGCCTTTCGATACGCAACTGGATACGTCCCTGTCGAACTAAAATTGCCAACTTTCCGACCAACACTCGGCACCGCCAAATGCAGTAGGGTTACCTGGAACAAATGTAACTCTTGCCATGGTCCTTGAAAAACTAACAAAGCTCCGCGCAAGAAGATCACCAGAATGCGATGATATCCGGCTGGCTGTGTTGAAACAATTGGGGGTGCCTTGTGTGGTCTGCTGTGTAATCTGTTTCAACACTCTTCAGACAACCACACACTTCCACGAGAGTGGAAAAGTGCTATTCTGTCCCTCATCTTCAAAGGAGGAGACAGGCAGAACCCAAGATGTTTCCTACCCATAGCCTTTCTACCAGTGGTGTGAAAGGTAATGGAGAGCCTGGTAGCCGACTATGTCAGGGAGTACCTAGAAAAGAGGGGGGCACTTAGTGACGCTCAACATGGTTTTAGAAAGGGTAGATCCCGCGCCTCAAACATTCTGGAGGCAGGTGATATGTAAACAACACGCTAGAACCCACAAGTTCATGTCCATGTTTTTACCTGGACTTTGCTGTGACCTTCGACACAGTCCCACATACCGTTCTCATTCATAAAATAAGAAGGTCGGGCACCAAGGGGCAAGTGCTGTCATGGGTACAGGACTATCCAGTAGTGGACAATTCTGCACAAATGCCAACAGAGTTTGCTCTACTTGGAGGACATCATCATCCGGTGTATCACAAGAAGAGATTCTGGGTCCACTGCTATTCCTTCTTCTTGCAAACTACTTCCCGTTGAATCTCATCTCTCCAATTCCCCTTTACGCTGATGATGTAACTTTATGGAGAGCTGTGACGTCGGAAACAGAATCAAGTGCTCTGCAGGGTTATCCCATTACTTGCAGAGAAGGTGGGTATTAATGGACTTGCATTTAGTCAGATAAGTACCGAACCATGTTTCTCCGCAACCCAGACTCTCAGGATGCACCCTATCCTCTGCATGGAACACAACTTTCCCTCAACACCACGGGGAAAAACCTAGGACTAATACTGACTGACGAACTAGACGCTAGCTCCAATTATCCAAGAGATGCCTCCAGAGTCTACGCGGTACTTCACTTAATCAGCAGACGACTGGGTGACCTGACACCAGATCTCTTTTTGAAAATGTATAAGACCCATGCACAACCCCACCAAGAGGTACACAACTCCACTACACCGCAATATCTCAAAAGAGACGTGAACCTCCTGGAGAAGGTCCAAAGGGGAGCAACGAAGGGTGTCGTGGGGATGAGGCGAAAACCATACCAGGACAGGCTGAAAGATCTAGGACTGTACTCCGTAAGCTAGTGTGGGTTACGTGGCTACTTGATAACGGCTTACAAAATACTCTAGCCTAAGTCGTCCGAACAGTGGAATCCTACCGGACGGCCACTGTGGCGGTCCTTGTGGTAACCCAAGGACAATCCCCCACTGAAGGGAAAAAACCTGCGTGCGTTCACACTTCTCTCTGTGAGTTTGCAGCCACTGGCGCGCATTACCTTTCGAGTACGCCACTGCTCAGTTTGTTGGGAACTTCAAGGAGAGGCTGGAGAGCGACGCGGAGTTTGGATCATCCAACTGGAATGCGGTCTAGGTTGATACAACCCACTAACTCAGTACGGCCAGCCTAATATCGAATGATTTGTCACACCACTATCACTGCAAACTTGACTCAACCTTATACTTCCCTGTAGACCTCCGCTCCAGTTAGCGTCCCCTACCAAAATAATTGCTATGTTCCCGTCCGTCCTCTGATGTTTTTTATCCTTCTTCCTTCTGAGTTTATGTTCTCAAGCTTTGGCATAAACTCTCCTTATCACTTCTGTTCCATAAACCTATCACTGTTACTTCTCCCGTGCCGTTTCCTTTTTCCTGACCTTTTTCAATTTCTCTTATCCTTTACTTTTTCTACTTCTTTTCTCTGCACTTTCTCTCCCTCACTTTCTCTTCACATATCTTTTATCTCCTTTTTACAGCCGGTCCAATCAACTGTCTGCTCGCACGACACTTGAGGAACCCATCTGCACCATAGTCCTCGGAAAAAAAACACATAAACAACACTCTCTACAAATGTAACCAATACCCAACAGCCTGTCGGGCTAACCAGAGCTTCAGCAGTAGAGTGGATAGACCTACTGCATCGGAATCCACCAAAGACCTGGAACCGTTTCGCAAGGCCAACAAGCGAGCGCGAAGATGTCAATTGGTTTACACTAGCTCGTAGAAAGATATTAGATATTGGATAACGTGGGAATTTAATTGTGTACGTGTCGTGTGTAGTCACAAGGTCAGTGTTGACATTTATCAGTTAGTTTGTGCTCACTTAGTTTTCCCCTTCTGGCCTTGTAGTTGCAACCTGTTTATTCTGCATCTTACAAAAGTCCATGTTACCCTGGTTTCTATATTAATTTCGATGTTGTCAAATATCTAGCCAGCAGAGACTCATACTTCTCCGTCTGTCGACAGCTTCAAGGGAGGTTGGATAGCTATTCGGTGACTCACAGCTTCCCGTCATCTAGCTGGGATATGGTCTAGGTCGAAACAACCGACTGATTTTGCATATAGGAGCACAGTCAACCCTACACCAAATCTTTTGTGCTGTCGCTACTGTCAACCTTTTATGTCCCCCTTAGACGTATCACCTCCACTATTAACTTAAATATTTTCGTTTCTGTTATCTACTCTGCAATCCTACTTAATCCTTCTCGTCCATCTGACTGTGATTTCGCCTTAATTATTAAGTTTCTCATCACAGCTCGCTTTCCCGTCTTCTCTGAATCTGGCTTGGTTTCTCCTTCCTTTCTTCCTTCTATCTTATCACTTTCTCTTCATTTCATCTCTTCCATCTTTTTATAGCCAGTCCGAACAGCTGGTGATTTTTGAGGAACCCATCTATATCACAGTCCTTGAAAAAATCATGCAACTCACACAAATTTAGTCAACACCCAACTGTGTGCCGGGTATACCCCAGCTACAGCAGGGGAGCGGGTAGAAATACTGCATTGTAGTCTTCCAAATACTCGGGACCGTCCCGCAATACCTAGAAACGAGTACGAAGAACTTAAATTGGTTTACACTGGCTAGTAAAAAGCCATTGGATTAAATTGAATGTTGCCCGCTCCCAAAGTTGTTTTGAATTCTGGAGAATCTTTCCTGAGAAATTAGTCTTGCTAGGTGAATACGCTGATAACACTCATGGTCTCTTGAGCGCATTCAGCATAAATCTGTGTGTGTTTAGCATACGTTTCGCACCTGTCAAATTTAAGATGATACTCCAGGACTTGCTTGCAACTACTCCTAGCCTAATGAAAGGAAGTGAATTGATAAAATGTATCGACCACTTCATTTACCTGAAAAGTTGCTGACGAAATCTCAGCTCAGATAAATGCCTGTTTGACACTTGCTAACTTGCGTCATCTGTGGTGCCGTCTGTCGAGATATCCTACCTTCAATCAAAGAATGAGTGTATTACGGTGCAGTCTGTTCTGTTCTTTGTACGACCGTTAAACATGGCCGTCAAAAGTAGATTACGTGAAGCAGCTGCCGTGTTTTCATCATACATGTCTTCGTAGCATTGCTAGCGGTTTGGGCATGTTCTACGCCTACCGAGCCACCACCTACATCGGCATGCCAAGCTATGTCAAGTTGGATAAGGTTGGAAGAGACTTCAAAATGACCAGACTAAAAGGTTGCACCAGTCGACGAAGTCTCTTACTGTTGGCGTGAGCCGTGTTGGGGGGCTGAAGACTGTCTGGTTGGGATCCCCGAGACGATAGGAATCAGTGGTTGGAGACTCTTGGTGACATAGCCGAATGTCGGTCACAGTAGAGCAGATGTATTCACTCCTTGACATCTAAAGCTTAAATATTCGTACTAACCTTTATCTTAAGATTGTTTATTACCACACAACTTTCATATCACTCTTTTTCTATATACCTGTTCTTTGTGTACTACTGTGAGGTGTGGTAACTTGAGCCTATGCATTTGTGTGCGAGGTTCTACGTTGATTATCTCATTCAGTCACACCTTGCTGTATGTGGGAGTCTTCCCGCCAGACTTATTCAGAATGAGTTTGATTGTTGTAAATTTGAAGCTCATGTTATAAACAATGTCAACGTAAAATCTGGAAAAACTGCGTAACTATGCCAGTTTTTACTTCAGCATATCAAGTTCCTAGGATTAGGGAATAAAGTGGATAACATATTTCGATGTGACGGTTAAAACTATATTAGAGTGGACATACATTCGCACCACAGATTACTTTTAAACCATGCCACCTAGAGTTTCCAGCTATCAGTTTTAGCTGTCTCATCAATCCCAACTGAAAGGCATACAACTATACGCATCTTAGACCAACAGTTGCCAACGTTAAGAACTGATACTACGTCTACCCAGCTACCCTTGATCTTTCCCTTTTGTGACCCTACCTCAACTAAAATATTCACATAGTAGTAGCTATTGACTAGGTACGATTAACATGTCCTAAAAATCAAAGTCAGTGGAAGTTCACAGCTTCACAAAGTGACTTACCGGAACCGGTTTAACATATTCACTACTTATGCTGTTATTCAAGCACGTGGAGACTTCCCCCAATCTGAAATGACCGTGATGAAACCATTAAGGAGACAGCTAACTACTGTTCAGTACACAACTTTGTGAACAGTCAGGCTAGTGCCATAAATAAGGAAAGCTGACGAAAGCCAATCTAGCCTTTTGTATTCATGCTGGCGTTTCGTCCGCTACACACCAACTGGACTGATCCAACTCCTATTTTCGGATGGAATATTTATTTCACTTCAGATGTGGCAACAGCTTCCAGATTTCAGCACGTGGTTAAGGTGAGAATGTTTTATGCACGATTGCTAACGATTATTTGTCAGATGGATTGTAGGATTATTCGTTCTCAATCAGTCTTACGTAATTTTATGCCTAGTAGCTGTTGTTGGCAATCTTAATTTTTAAGGAAGCTAATTAAATTGGGTCTGAAAATTTTAGAAGAAATCGATTGATCAACAGATTTTATAGGATCTGAATATTCATAGTCATCAAACACAATGCGGCCCAGGAACGTTAAGCTTTAAAGAATTAGATTGGTTCCGTATACCATGGGTACGTCTCATAAGCTGGTTAGCTAAATCTACCTATATCAGGAATATCTTCGCACCCTGCATGTCTCAGCAACCTATGGCATTTAGAGCAAAGAAATGGCCCAAAAGGCCTCAGAATATTGAGAATGGTATCAGTTACGTACTATGGTCATGGTGACTTTTGAAACCATTGCTAAAGACGTTTTATTGAAATTTTGTCGTGAAATATGCTTCGTAATTACACAACGCTGCTGAAATATCCACGATAAGTACACTGACTGACCACTGGAGAATGATTATTTACATGTTTTCCAGTCTTAAATGCCAGCCGTATTCTTCCACTTATCTGTCAATGTAATCGAGCTAAGGGATGGAGCATTACAGTGAACTTTGATTTATATTTACGGGAGATCTCTCTTGGTCCGAATAGTTCATCTCTGACTGCGACACTGGGTGACGTAGTTTCGAATTTTTAAGGTATTGGTTACTATAAGTTTGTAGATACGCCTTGCTGACTGGTGCTAACCAGCACAATTCCTATGTTTAGAGCTTCTTGCTGACTCCTTGCAACTACCTAACACTCATCTCAAGCTGCCATGAAAGCATGTGTAGTAGTAAGCCTCCCACCTATGTTTAAATTCGATGTCTGTCAACTAGATGATATTATTCAGTCACTATAATTGTGGTGGTTCCTCACTGATTTCTTCCTGCATGTATTAGTTTCTTCTCTATCACTATTATTTCCACTCTTTTGTATTTCTTTTGACTGGTTGTTTCCTCACTGCCGATTCCAGGTACTTTGTATTAGCACGGTGCATAATTTCCCCAGGTCTTAAGCTATTTATGATTTACTGAGACAAAATATGGTACGGTGAGTGTTGTTCATTAAAAACTCATAACAATATCATTAGTTGGTTTGCAATGATGTTCTTCTTTTGTTGATATTTTTTAGAAGCTAATTATCTAGACTTCATAATTTTATCTATCATATACCTGTTATGCATTTAAAATTGCCGTTTGTTACGCATTTCTTTCACAGCAAATATCTATAATGTCTCACAAGCGTCCTGAGCACACTCTTCCTCCTGAGTTGGTATGTCGTCTACAAAACATTCTTTTTTGCTAGTATTACAATAGTGATGAAGCCAGAAAATACAGTTCTAAGTGGGCTTTTTTCTCCCCTAACCAGTTTTTAGCTCTCATATAATCGATATTCAAACACGTATAACAGAACGAGCTTTAGAACTACTTGCTCTTCCCGAAGATGAAACTTGCATGCTTTTGGATATTGGGTAGTTCACAACATATTCCCCGATTAATCAATTCAGATGTGGCTCAGGTTTAAGTGGCGAAGTTATCTCTGACAGTGGTCATCACTGGGTTGGTGTTGATATAAGTAAAGATATGTTGGATGTGGCCTTGGACAGGGAAGTAGAAGGAAGTTTGTTACTTGGTGATCTTGGCTGTGGATTACCATTCCGTAGTGGGTCATTCGACGGAGCTGTTAGCATTTCAGCTATACAATGGTTATGCAACGCAGATAAGTCTTCGCAAAATCCTGTTGTACGACTCAGACGATTTTTCTCCTCGTTATACAGTTGTATGACTCGAAGTGCACGAGCAGTTTTACAGTTCTATCCAGAATCTGTTATTCAGACAGACTTGTTACAAAACGAAGCTATGCGAGCCGGATTTACAGGTGGCCTTATTATTGACTTTCCAAACAGTACTCGAGCAAAAAAGTAAGTTTTCACAATTATCACTAATGTTTTATTAACATTTATAGACCTTTTGATCAGTAATTCGCGTTCATATTTGTTGAAAATACTTTGAAGACAGAGTTTAACTGTCACGACTTACCCTTTATATTTTTTAGGATGAACAGACAGTTTCTTTGTAGACGTTTTTGCTGTCAACTAATTAGCTCAACGTAGTAACAAATTATGTAAAACCACGATAATGTTCTCCTCTGGAGCTCCATGACCTACGCGCTGAATCTTTATGTAAAAGGTCCTAAGCTCAAATCTTGTTCCACTTACTATGGTTTTGTCAGCAGCGTATTTTCATAACTCCTTACGCGATAAGTGTAGTTCATACCCATATGTCGATTTTAGCCGGGTTGAGTTACATTATTATTAATTCTTAAAAGTAAATTATTAGCTTTGCACCATTATATTCTAGTGCCTATTGACGTTGCTGGACTCTTCTCAATTTCACTCCCATATTTTGCCAAATGTGATGATCATGTCCGCTGCACTTGTGTGCTAGTTTCTATATTGATCAGTCTCGCTCACCACCATATATTGATACCATAAAATGATACAGCCGGGGATAAGGTGAACCCATTCTTACTTACAGTCTCATATAAATGTAGTATCCTCCATTAAAGTTCCGTTCATATGCTAGGCCATAAGTGACACCCGTTCATCTAAAAACCAGATATATTGACTAGCTATTCGGATTGAAATAAGTTTTAACTCAACATTAAATGGTCAAATAATAAGAGCTTAAACGTCTGAGATAGTCTTTACTTTAGTCTTCTGATACAAAAATGAAAAGATAAAAGGTAACATTTACCATTACACTGCTGATGAAGCCTCCATATCCGTATTTTTGTATATTTAAGTTCCAGGACCCGTAGGTGATTAAAAGATGTAGAGATATGTACCTGACATTCGCTACCATGAAAAGGCAACTCATGATATTCGTCACTCTTTAGGGGTAGGGATGGACTTCGAAACAGTTATTTTTGATTTTAGTAGATATTCTCGGTCACAGAAGTCATACAAAGATTGATGATATGAATATCGGAAAATTGCATATGATCCTTTTGGTGTCATTCTCATACAGCGTATATATTATTTGTCACTTGTATTTAACTCATCTGCGACTACTTTCTTACTAGTGCTTACTATTCAGTATGCCATAAAACAACAAATGCGTTTCTTGAATGGACCACTAAAACACCTATTTGTGTCTTTTTAACTTCAAAAGAAGGATTTTGTCACAAACAGTAATTTTCTTAAGCACTATTTGAACAGACATCTTGTACCCAGCTGAAGGTCTGAATGCACAGGTCAGATGCTTAATTATAAAATGAAGTCGCTTGAATGACCAACATCGACAATCAATGGGATTATCACTTTCTCATTATCTGGTCTGAGCTGTACACATCGATTTATATCCGTGAAGGATCCCCACTGTCTCCAATCTTGTTCAATTTTGCCATAGATATTCTTATGGAGGTCTCCCTCATCATCTAACATTACAGGGAATGATCTAGTCACTGAAGAATCCTTGGTAGGTGTAGAATACGCAGATGACATAGTCCTGTTAGGTGAAGACGCTGACAACATGAAGAGTCCTCTGGACATCTTAAGTGGCAATGGGAGAATGTTTGGGATGCGTTTCTCGCCACCCAAACGCAAATTGCTGCTTTGTAACTGGTCTTCAACGGTGCCCTGTCTAACAGTAGAGAGTGAAGCGGTTGAACACCGCTCAACTGAGAAATCGGAGTAGTATTGGTGGATCAATGGACGACGAAATCTCTACACGGACACAAAACGCTCGATTGGCTTTCACCAACTCACACCATCTGTGGTACCGCCACGATATCCGATTGTCGATTAAGGATCGAGTGTACTGTGCTGCAGTTCGCTCTATTCTACTTTATGGCTGTGAGACATGGTCATCAACGGTATAGAACATGGAGAAGGCTTCTGGTGTCCGACCACTGTTGCCTTCGTAGCGTGTGCCGTGGTGTCGCCACATGAATAATGCAGAAGTCATGTGTGGTTTCAGAGAGGAGTGAAAAGTCAGTTGATGAGGTGACGAACCTTCGTTGACTGAGTTAGCTGGGACGTTTGTTGCACATGCCTACTCACCGTCTGCCTCGCACAATGTGATCTGAAGTAAGTTCGGGCTGGAGAAAGGCTTGGGGCAGCGTGGCATCAATGCATGGGACCTCCGACAATTGGTTTGAGCCGTTCAGGGAGATACTAGGTTAACCATTTGTGGTCCATGTGATAATAGAAACTAGTGTTTGGAGACTAGGTGATATAGCTCAGAATCGATCTCAGTGGCGCAGATATGTACACAGTTTATTTTTGTCTTAGCTGCTATACTGAATTCAGTATTTTCTTATTCTTCTTTCCTCTCCTTTATTCTTTTCTACCGCTGGGACAGATTTTTCTTTCTTCATCTTTCATAATACTTTGTTACTTGTGCTGATATGAGGTGTGGTAACTTAGATCTTTGCGCAGTAATCTCTGGTCCTATGTTGATATTGATTGGTCTAGTCACCTACTACTCAAACTGACCATATTGCAGTCATCTACTCGTGCAGTAGATTTGAACGGAGTAATGTCTTATTCTTCACTATCTGTATGAAGTTTGGTTGTTTAGGGTATTTTTGTATGCTGCTTAAATCCCCTGCTGAGACTAAAAATGTGAGGAGCCTCCAAATCATCTTAAAACGCCGTCATACGACCTTACGTTCATAACCTTTATCAGAAAATTTGCAATCACTGCCTCGACGTGGAGGGGTGTTTCTTCAAAAGTGAAAGCCCTTATCATCGGATTGGTAGTTGGGAAGGATATACCCGACCGATAGCTGCTTCATTGACGTGGTGTTTGGACTTGCATATCACAATGACTTCGATGAAATGTGCTGGTGGGATGCTTGTTCCCTCGAGGTCCTACCATACCAGAGAGGTCTGTCGGATAGTGGTAGGACGAAAAGCAGTTACTTTTTTAGTGTAAATTACTACACTATAATGGACGTCTGACTAACAATGACAAAATCAACATAGAACCTCGCACATAGGTGCATCAGCTTCATAAAGGACAGGTGGATAGAAAAGAAGTGATATCACAGCAGACAACCTTCCCCCCCTCCTTCGGAAGGAGAGGTTAGAAAAGGTCTACCCCAAAGACAGCACACCACCCCGTAACGCGTCGGCAGCCTTGTCTGATAGTCAGGATCGAAACCAACAAGCTTAATTCTCATACTTATAACAACGCCGTGTGTAAACGACCTCAAGCAGATATCCCTTAAGCTCTGTTGTAGCGCATTACCCGTTCTTTTTCAAGTACCTCAAGGAGAAATACCCTTCCACGGTGTGGGAAACCGGTTAGTATCTCGACCGCTCCCACAACTCTGTCAGCTGTAAGTTTTATTTTAGGTCACCGTCCACCTCCCACGTTCTTACCTTCTAATCTTCCTTCACATCCCTTACTCAAAAATCCTACATCTTTAATTTTTTCCAGCTCTTGACAACGATCTGAGTTCACGAAACAGGATTTCAAATCAATAGTTCATATCGTCCATAGGATCCGTAATAAACGACTATTGTGGTCACCTGCAAACATAGACTTCCAGTCAAAGGCTCGAGAAGTCGCTCTTAAAAACATATCTGCTTTGATCTGATTGTATTCAAATATATATTTCCTGGATCTAAGTTACCATTATTTTAGACCTCACCCAGCCTATGATCTTATAATGACTCACTGACATCAAAATGCCTAAATACTTCGGTCTCAGCCAAAGCTTCAGCAAATGAATTCAGGTATTTGTATCATAGTTTTGTTGCACCATTTTTATGTGAACGGAACTGTTTTGTTTTTGTCCTTAACAGTGTCTGGAAACCTGGTCAGTCTGTTTTGTTTTCAGTCACAAATATTCTTCAGCGTTATTTCTGATTCAACTATTCCGAATCACACATAGTTCAAGCTGTCGTCAATTTTTGAACCTTGATTCAAATTAGATAGTTTACAGATTTGTATCTGGACTCTGAGAGCATCTGTTGTGTTTTACTCTGCATTTCACAGGCTGTCATACAGAATATCAGTGAAGTACTCTGAATAACTTTTATCACCTTGGATAGTGTGTTGCATGTATACTTATCCGGTTTCTCTTGATATAGCATCCAGGATTGCTGGTGTGAATGTAGCACTAAGTACTAGAGTAAAAGTTGTAGTAGCCAGTTGAATCTTCATGGAAGCTCATCTGTTTGCTTTCAAAGTTTCGATCAGTGAGTAGTAATTGGCAGTGGAAAAAAATTCTACTTATATTCCGAAATACTTCAGCGTGGATGCAACTAAAGATGATTTTCACCACTTACTGAATGATCTCGGTTGTGGCGTCGACATATTGTGATGCTAACTAGGGATTTGAATCCTCACATAGACATCTTGACTCAGAGGTAAGTCTCAAAGCGACACAATTCAAATAGCCTATTTCCTCAGTTTTCTGTGCTCGGTAGTCGGTCAACGCTTATCCATCGAACTAATCAAAAGTCCAAAAGAAATTTCGGAAGATAAAGTGCCACAAGACAATCCAAACAAAGTATCCCCAAGCTACCTTAAAGAATGGGTGTGAGATTGTAATCAGGAGACTGACCAAATTGTTTCCGAAGGTACTGCACACTGAGAGTTTATCATAACCCTTGAATAAATTCATCTTCTTACCCGTTTTATGAATAAAAGCCTATGTAACGTACGTAAAAACCGTCGGTGGGTCAATCTACTATCAGCAGTGTTTAAAATATTGCCTTCTATCGTGCATAGTAGGCTTTTCAAAGCTCATGAAAAGTTGGTTTGTGAGGAACAGATTCCATGTTCTAATCTGACTTCTAGTCTGAACCTACTTCAGCTGACATTGTACGATGGGGTAGACAGCGATTAGGCATGAGTAGCAGATGTTTCAGCCACCAAAGTCGATGTGTGTCCACGACGTCATCGATTGCCTTTCTTCTTACACCAAAAATTACTCCTGACTTATACGTGGCATAAAAACACTCGGCTATTGCTAAGAAAACAACAGTAGTCAAATACCTTAAAACTTATTATGTTCTTAACCTTTATTGGGTTTTTTATGACCATACAGTAGGATAGAGTGGACTGCAGTGTCGTACACTCTACCCTTAGTAAATAATCGAATGTCATGGATTAAATACACGTCTTCGGATTCATTTATATGTCCTTAATATTTTAATTTTGATTATTTCACTGAAGAAACCTGAACCAGGATTCCGTGCAAAATGTTGAAATTATTTCATTTCAAACATGTCTTACACAAATACAAACTATATTTAATGTTGACATTTTACTCAACTCTCAATGTTTGTGACACTATTCCGTCAACTCTTGATCATAGTTGATATGAACCATAGTCTTCATGCACTAGTATCATGTTATTTCAGCTTTGGTCTTCTAAGTGAAGTTCCTTCGACCCACAGCTTTTAATCATCATGTATGCTTTGAAAGGCTTCTTACTATCTTATTGCTTAAAAAAAATATCGTCGTGTTATCTTATACAGATAACTGAAACACTAGTTTGGATAATGTAGACGTGAATTCCATTTTAGTTACGTGATATGAATATGGACAATAAATTGTGTCCGAAACGTTATCCAGTAAATGATACTATTTCACTGTATGACATTTCTAATAAACAGACTAAAATGGAATTACAATCGACCACAGTGCCCAAGTTTTACTCCTGTATTAATGTGGACATGGTTTTCCTTGAAGAATCAATTTTCTGTTTCTTATAGGTACTTTTTGGTATTGGATGTCTGCAATTCTCGTCGTGTTCCTCAACCACTGACTGATAATAATTGTGCAGTAAACTTTGCTCGGGATAAATTGGAGAGTGTGCGACAATGTCGACAACTGAAGAAGTTACCAAAACACAGCGTAGCTTGGATTAAACAAAAAAAGCAACGTGCTAGAGATCAAATGAAAGACGTTGTACATGACTCTAAATATACTGGACGAAAGCGGCGTGCAAAGTTCTGATCCAACTTCTGTTCCATATCTACAGATCATATTGTGTATTATTGTACCCGTTCATGGTCATTGTATGTCGTTTGGTTGTTGTTGCTCATTATGTTCAATAGCAGTTCACTGTAAAGTGATTAATTTTCGGTTCTTCACGTGATTTTCCTTTTATATGCATATAGTTTCAGTAAGAAATATAAATACCTTTTTACTCCTGAAGTAAGAAGTTGAGCTTTATTTTGCGATAAATTTCTTTACTCACTAGTCTTACTATTCTTTCTTAGATTCTACAAGTGTAACTAAAAGTAATTTCCAGCCAGTTAGTAAATAGTTTTAACAGTTTAAAATTGTTGTCTCTACGTTTATCCGTCTCGAAATTTGTTTGGTATGTGTAGACGCTTTTTCACTGCGTTATTCAGGATATCTGTACTATAAGTAGGTGTAAATGAAGTGAACTTCACGTGTTTTTTATACTTGCTAGACCATTGGGGACTATCTCAGATCCATTTATGAACCATCCAGGACATTTTGAACAAACTGTCAACTGGTGCGAAACTTTGACATTCTTTTTCTTTTTGCTTGAGTTCTTGGTTCATTCAGTTGAGCGATTTATAGACGAAGTGATTTCCAAAGTCTGGCAAAGTAACACCAGCTAGTAAACCATCTGAGTTCATGGATAGTTGGATACTTGCTTTCATATATTTTGTTCAGTCTTTCTGGTATATTTCTGTACAATCACTCACATAGCTATTTTCACTTTGCTGTCCCTTTTGTCAAGTCCACCTTCGTATGTGCAGCTTGAGCTGATAAGCAACATTCCCAGGTGTTCTGTCCCTTCATCCGTTGTAAGTCAACTATCAGGATAGTAACTGAAGAAACTTAAGTTCCCTCGGATATTCAAAGTTTGCATCCCAAAGTATCAAGATTAACCGTTTGGTTAGTATCTATAATGTTCCATCATGTTCGTTTATACAACTTCTGAAACCAGTGGTTCTGGAGTTGTCGCGCTACAGTTGTTTCTAAGGAATTCAACAGTGGACAGTGTGATGCTACTATATCCAAACTTCATACCTGAACACATTCTGAAGTCGGTCCTCAGTCATTGCGGCACATAGTGCTTGACTATCTATAATCTGTTTTCTCACCTAGCACTGTAGTGGGCGTTGTTGATCAGAATGGATATAATTAGTATACGTTGAAAGGGCGGCAAAATATATAGGAAATTACCAGTTACGGGTAAGTTTCTGCCCAGAGAAACTCGAAAGACAGTGCGGCTGTATTAAGATCGAAGCAGGAAAGGAAATGAAGCACGTTATCTAAATGACTGTCTTAGTGGTGTACCATATCTGATGACTACTGTACAATGTGTCAATTAAAAACAACCCTTCCTTCGTCTCTGTCTTCTCGTTTCTTTCAGCACTACTCCCCACTATTTTAGAGCCGAGTAGTAGATACCTATAGTTTCTTACTACACTTGAGATGTCTTAACTAGCTAACTATAACCACCAATGTCGGTATGTATGAAGGCCGGTTGCCACCTTGTAGTTGTCAGTCGTTCCATTATCGCTGAAAGCATCTTTATCAACTTCGATAAAGCAGTAAGACCTGGGGATTGTGTAACGTGTTCTCGCAATACATTTTGAACAATCTGATTACACAAGCGCGTCATAGGTAATTGTGTGGAAGGTTACAAAAAGACGGAGTGAGAATATGAAAAGAAGTCAGGTAAGAAGGCCGAAATAGCAGTCAAACCAATAAGAGCGAAAATAATATAACGTCGACCTTGGTTTTATAGCTGAAATCACCAAAGGTCTGATACTGTAGCAAATTGTTTTTGATCACTCAAAGGTGGCTTAGACTTCCTAATAGTGAAAGCCTCAACAGATTTCACGACTTCCTCAACACATACTGTAAGTAGGTCCCAAGAATATAGAAACGTCAGTCATGTAAGCTGTATCGGCGCCATGTCATGCCATCGAAGATAGATCGGAATGTCTTCAAGTCATTCGAAATGTCTCGTAATAGAGATGTCAGCACTCATTATGCGGAGTAACACGAACTCAGCGAACCCGTCTCGCCTTTAGCTTTGCTGTTAACCTTTGGCCAGATAGTTAAGAAGCTTGATTTCTCTTCCCTGAAATCGAATTTGACGAAAAAGAAATCTTTTATTCCCATCTGTTTGCGGTCATAAAAGGGCTACTGGGATAATTTAGCAAGCGTATTACACTTACCATATTTGGCGTCAAATCTTCACACTTCGGACAGCATTATCTGCAGTAACCAATCTCACCAGCTGCCAACGTCTACATATATTGTTCCGCAGTATTGCGTCAGCGAATGGTTTTGCCATCAATGCGATGGTAGAAATGCGTGCGGTAGTAGGACAACGAACAACTGGAAAGGGAATTTGTAGCAGGCTGTTTGGTTGGAAGAACAGAAACCAATGCAAGCCACCCTAGTAACCTTTCAGAGTAGCAGCCCACATGAACATACTTTTACAAAGGCGGGTTGGGACTTCATGGAGTCATTCCGAAAGCATCCTAACACAGGTGTTAGCACATTCTGATCCTTGTGTGAACTAACACCACAATAAACCTGTTGCCGAACAACTTTTCCTCTGAAAATGTGTTGCTAGTTAGCTGGAGTTAGTGCTAATTTACTGATAACTAGACTTTAAGAAATTGACATGACGACCTATTTTGACAATGTCATCGACATTGTTTACTTCTGTTGTATTGTTGGTTTTCGCTATTGTCACTGATTAGTTCATGGATCTTCCTCTTGCTTCTGTTCTAATACCGTGTGGTCAGCAAGTGTAGGCTGCAGTTAGTGAGCAAATCTAGTCACAAAACTTCCCGCTGAACGCCAGTGAAGCTTTCCGAGTTTGGGGGCTTTCACAATAAAACGCTAGAGACTAAGCTTTCTCTCTTCCTTAAGAAAGTTGACCCCCAGAGCCATTCAAGATGCCAGTTAAAAAAAATGAAACTGTCGGAAAGATATGTGTCTTCTACTACTGCATTCGTCACTCCACTGAAGCACCTTGTATGCCAAACCGTACGCCCATGAAGTTTTGCGTCATGAGAATTAGGTTTGACTTTGGGCAGTTCCCTCAGTTGTTAAGGATTAACACTGAAGATAGTAAGGTGTCAGGACTTTGTCAGATGTCAGCATACAACCCTATTACCTGATATCAAGCATGCGTCAGCAACATAAACACTAGTTTTGCTAACGGCGAGGCATCGACTGAAATCTTGTTTTGAATTCCTGGATACAATGGTATTGTTAAAATATATTATTACAATGCTACCTTTAAGTTTGGAGTCTTCAGTACTTCAACTACGCTTTATAATTTATGTATCTGAATATCGGTGTAAGATAAAGCTTCTAGATATCAATCATAATTCCCAGACGGTCCAGACCAACAGCGTACGTGAAGCAAATCTTAACTGGAACCTATTAGTAGGAATGAATTTTTTTGCAGTTCACTGACAGAGTTATCTTAGTTACATGACTAGTACTTTTGTTCAACACTGAGGATCCCACTGCTCAAAAATGAACACAAGTAGCTTTACAGCCGCGTTAATTCAACTACTGAATAACCAACAAAACTTATTCCTTAGAAGGTAAACAAACGTGTGAACCAAATTTCCCAATAACTAATACACCCATCGATGGACAAATATGAACTGAAGCATGTCACCGGAAAACAGTAGTTCGAGATACTATATGTGCAATCCGGTAAACATAGGACAGTTGTTACAACCTACCATAATCTGCTGACTAGCATCAAATAAGACCGAAGAACTGCGACGCATGTTTGTGAACAATGCGACACCACTTGATAGTGACGAAGCTGACTAGCTGAATGAACCCTACATTCTCAACTCTCTTATTAAGTTGAATATGATTGGTCTCATAACTGCCGAATATCACGGTCGTGCAGACTTAAACGTACCTCTGTGTCATTTTTATGCCACTTTTCATTTGGAGTACACAAGATAATCCATTGGCTGCTGTAATATCTATATGAAGACTTACCAATAACAATTAACGCGCTATACAGACCTCAGGTCTCAAAAGTTCCGCTGGTGACATTTTACAGCTAAGGGGAAACAACGTCTCGTCATTGTCTTTCTCTACTTTCTGAGTAACCTGAACCAAAAACGATGACTAAGGGTAAGAAATTAATCTAGTACGTTAGCCCGAATAGACAGTCATCAATCATGACTATATCGATGGGATATTCGCAAGACGAAAGGCACACAATGCATCTCAGTATCATCATCCTCGTGCCAGAGACAAACTTTTTTCACAACAAAACTTTACACCTTAAATGACTTTCTAAAACATTTAACCACCGTGATGATCCCCTAACTCTAAGCTAGACAGTTGTGGATGATACCGTTACACTCTAGTGCAATTACAAGCCACAACTTTACAGAAAACCAGTCCCCTATGTAATATCCAAACACACATCCAGGTAAGGTACTACCCCTCGTTGAATGAGAAGATATATGAAGTCTGAATCGTTGTCATTCAAGAACAGGAACGTAGTCTACATATTTACGTCTACCAAACGAAAACACGTTGTAGATATGCAGTTTCTACATGCCTAATTCTAGTATTACTACCCTGACCACTAACCATGTGTCCGACTAACCCTATGCCTTGTCATCCAGTTCTGCACTGAACTACACTACAATTAAGGGCTTTGGATCTCAGACTAACTTTTGAGTATGCACTGGAACCTATGTCAAAAACGACTGATGCCGGCCTAGTGAATGTTGTCAAAAAGATCAGCGCACAAATACTCAGAAAACATATGGGTCATACAACAAATTACAAATTTACACTGCAGTGAAATGCAGTTTTTACTTCTACTCAGAAAAAAAACTAGAAAACTGGTCACCTTCATTGGTAAAATAGTGTATTACACAATCATACACTAAAATCGAATATGGGGAAGACGATTGGAATAAAATATACAATCACTTCAGTGAGATTATCAAGTATCTCAACAGGCGATAAATAAATCATTTGGAGAAATAAATCGACCAAGAGACATTTAGACAATGATGTGATAACAATAAATCACTAGGTCTTCTGCTGAGTTTCGATCAACACAACAGGGTTAGGCAGGATTGACTTCTCCATCACTATCGAACTTCAGATCGGCTAGATCTTCCATAAGCTGTGAGCGAAGCTGAGGTAGTGTTGCTACGCGGCCATAGAAGTCGTCCACACGATATTTGTTGAAGATTGCCTGAGAATATTCAGTGTTAGTTAACGTGCACTTACCCTATACTTTGAAGGCGAATGCTGACGATAAGCAGCTCTAGCCAGAACTTGTAGGTGGGGACGAATGTCATCCAACATATAACCACTGAGATATGACAGCCTATCGTTCCAAACCTGCTCTAGCTCGGATGTGCCCAAGTATATGGCTCTTGACATGCACAATGAAACTGCAGCACGAAGGTTCCCTGGAAGATGAGCCAAGTCGTACTCCTGAATAGTAAGTTCAAGAAAGTACTTCGCTAAATTATGCGTATTCCTATCAGCCTGGAAACAAGTGTCATTCGTAAACACGCTTACTTCTACAGCTTTTGAAAAACGTCGTAAAAACACCAAAGGGGTCGGAACCGACAAGTAAAAGTCAATTGACTGTAGTATCGCTTGTTCCATATTTCGTATATCAATTTTCGAGTAAGCGTTATTAGTAATCGAAGAGAAATCGCTTATGTCAGGCGGATACATTTCTTCGAACTTAGCTGCGATGAAAAGTGATGCAATGCCTATCAGCTGGAACCCATCTTTTGTCAGGCGCTTCGCATTTTTCTGAAATCATCTGAACAGCAATAGGCAACATACCATTAAATAGCGATCCATAATAGCTATGCACAGGTAGAGTGTTTCAGGCTGCAACTTATAACTGTAGTGGACCTGTACAAGCCAGTTTACTAGGATGTAACGCATTCTTGAGTTGATTTCAGAATTTGAGTTTATAAAATGAGCAGGTAAAGGCTGTAATGATAGTTCCCTGTCTTGCAGGTAGTCAAATATACGTCCTGCGTAAGGGTATACAGTAGCCATATCTCCGAACTCAATCCGATCAAAATCCAAGAAATATTCCGCTATAGGAGATGCCAAACACTGTAGACGTATGGCTTTGCGGCGAGCTCGAAACTCCTGGAGCCTATCAAACTGCTTCAGGTTGGCGGCGTCAACACCCATGTTGGGCTTTTCTTTTTCTAAGATGAAAAACCAAGCAAGAAAACTAACATACTTTTCGCTATACATTGCTCACTTTCACCACTTTTTTGTTTACTTATATTCTTTGATAAAGCATCAGTGGTTTTATTCCTGATGTCGCCTAAGGCTGAACGTGATCTTGTTGACACGCCACCAGTTTCAGCTTTAAAAATTATGTTCTCCTTCATGCCATCCACCAAATTCTCATTAGCCTGAGTTTTATTTCGTTACGAATAACAATCTTACAGGTACTCCGAGCTTGCTTCGCGTCAACATTGTTTGTCTTACAAAGTGCAGCTGATCGGTTGAAAGGCGTACAGCCCGCCAATTTTGATGACTGGGTTCGACGAGTTATTCAAACACATGCGCATCGTTTCAAACACCTATGACACACGAATTCAGATTTGCATTTTCTTTCCGTTTGCATTGAGATATCCACCTCCATGATATTTCATATGAAGGAATACTTTTGATATTTGGATATTATCACATTTTTTAAGCAGTGTATCTGTCCTCGTGCAGCATACGACATCAGTTGTTTGCGTTTATGAATCTGATCATTCTTTAGAGTTTGCGGCTGTCTACTTATGCCTTTTCCCTGTTGCTTGGTTTTACTTTTGTGGTGGATAATCATATTCCTCCTATTTTCTTGATTTGACATCTACTGAGATCAGCATGTCCAGCGGATTTGTATCTGCAACCTGTAGATTGAGTTGTTTAAGAAGCTACATGCTACTGAGAGGATTCAGCGTCTTCTGTAGACTCTCGTTTGCATGGATGCCTGGATAAGAATGGTGAAAAATGAGTAAAATCGTTTGAAGGAATCACGTGAAGAGCAAAATTAGATGGGATATCTATAGTTAGCGTAAAGTAGTTACAGAATGAAGCGGTTAAGTGGAACCAAACAAATAGTAGGCGGGCCCTAAATACCCCCATGTTTGAATGTCATACGAATTATTGTTTTGTGAGTATTCTAACCACCAAAACTTTTTTTAACTTATTTCCTACAAAAAGTTCTTTTTGAAGTTCACTAAATGATTGTAAACTGCGCAACAGTTCGTCGACAATATAGTGTTATGTTATGCTTCTTTTTGGGTGTGGTACACGCTATAAATCATGCTGATAAGAAGGTGGAGCGCGAGATTTCACGATAGTCTGTGCCAAAACAGCACACGAGAATCTTGTCGATGGAGACAAAGGTGTTCGGACTCTTTCTCCTTTTTAAAGCTGTCCTGACGTGTACGACAAGGGTGTTACGTTTGAATGGATTTAGGTATTCACTTATGCGCAGACAATTAGTCTACGCTAGTACAATGGAGTCATAAACATTTAACTTAACCCCATGTTTCTGCTACGTTGACAAACACGCCCAATATGGTCAAAGAGAAAGGAATGACCAAGGTACATTAAATCATAGATATATAGAATAGACGGTAGTACCAAGTGGTCTGAGGTAGCAGATGTGGAGAATTATAACCCCACCGCACCCCATTTACATTTCCTGCCATTTTATCATCGCTTTTGTTTCCTGTTCAAAAACGATCATGAATATGAGAGCCGCAGGTTGCATACAATGCCGTGAATGCAAGGGTAGTTCCAGCTTATCTCCCTATGATCATGCCTGCCGGCAAGTTATGACTTTCCCACCCTTTGGTTTTCAATGTTTTGTAGTACACTGACTGGAATTGTTAGTTTAGGAAAGATCTTCAGCCAGCTGGCTGTATTTTCCTGGCGTGCATCGCGTGCCAGACAATGTTTATGATCAACATACCTCCACCCATACCATAATCTAGCCTGATTTATCGCGCAAAGGTGACTTAGATACCGAATTACATAAAAACCGTATGCCTTTTATGAAAAGGGAGAAGAGTGGTGGGTGAGACGTTTATTTGTAGAACAAGTGTAATTATGCAAAGCTAAAACCTCACTCAGTTATCCAGTGCAATAGTTACTGGCCAGTCCTAAGCCTGGATAGAGAAAGAAGGTTGGGCATAGGGCTACCAACCTACCCCGTAAAACCACTTCAACCGCCGGAGGAACTTCAAAAAATAAGATTAAATTTGTTCCTCGCTGGAGTCGGAGAGAAAAAAATGACGCCAAATGGTGGAAGCTTTCGGGGAGCCAATTGGCCAATGTCTTCTCTTCCCTCGATGAAAGCAAAACTAAACATGGGGATATGGAATGTCCGCACTTTGTTTGAACCCAACAAGGCCGCTTGGATCCCTGGAAGGATGAGGAGGTATAGCATAGAAGTGCTTGGAGTCTTCAAAAGCAGATGGAATAGGAGTGAACTTTCCAAACTTTTAACTGGAGAGGAGTCAACAATCTACTCCGATACTGTCACCGGGACGACACCACGAAAACGCTGAAGGGGTCGCTATCGTGATATCCCCAAGAGCATCAAAGGCTCTCATACAGTGGGAAACAATCTCCTCATGCAGGATCATGACAGCAAGGTTCAACTCAAAATGAAGGAAAGTCATAATCATTCAGTGCTACGCACCTACAAATGATGCAGATCAAGAGAAGAAGGAGGAATTCTACAGGCAACTGGGATCAGTAATGGACAAGACTGCAGTTGATGACATCGAATTCCTAATCGGTGACATGAATGCCAAACTGGGAGCGGACAACACAGAAAGAGAACTAACCATGGGTCGAGAGGCAATCAATCAAATGAATGAGAATGGTGAACTGTTTGCAAACTTCAGGGCATTTAATGATTTGATGATTGAAGGTAGTGTGCACAAGCACAAGGATATTCACAAAGCAAAATAGATTTCACCAGATGGATGCACTAAAATCAGTTCGACTTCATCTCAATTTGAAGAAAGTGGAGACGCAGACTACTGCACACAAGATCAGTTGAAGAAGGGAAGCAGATCTAGGTTCACACCACTTACTATCTAAAGCAAGGAACCTTCAAAATCAAGTTGAAAGAAGTTGGTGATAGGCCATAGTCCAGGTCCAACACCCAGAACAGAAACTGAACTGAAAGATGAAACTATAAAGGATATCTTCATAACAACCAGTCATCATGAGCGACATCAAGAGATACTGGGCAACATCTCAGAGGAAAACTGTGTGAAACAACACCTGGACTCGTTGAAAGCTATGTGGAAAAAAATGCATAACCGTATTAAGAAGAAAGAAGACAAGGAATTGATCTCCACGGACACATGGAAGCCAATAGAGGAGAGGAAGATGGTGAAGCAGAAGATAAACCAGTGGAGCGCAGAGATGAACAACAAAAAGAGGAACTGACTACAACGTATAAAACACCACACTGGACAAAGAAGTGAAGAAGAGTGCACGCAAAGACAAAAGACACTTCCACAACGCATTGGCAAGTGAAACAGAACAGACTGCAGGTTGGTGAGAGAGACCTGACAACATTATATCAAACAACTAGGTTACTATCTGGGAAGAGATCAACACAGACGAAACCAATGAGAGATAGTGAAGGAGAGCCGGTTACCGAAGAGGAGAAACAAAGGAAACAATGGGCTGACCACTTCAAAAAACTCCAGAATCGACCACCACCTGCAACTCGTCCAGAAATACCACCACCAGCCCAGACATGGAATTACCAGTGAACACAGGCCCTCCGACAAAAGCAGAAGTCCTGAAGGCCATAAAACTGCTGAAATCCGGGAAAGCAGTAGGACCAGATGGAATTCCTCCAGAAGCACTGAAAACAGACTCAGAGACAATAGCGGACATGCTCACACCACACTACTACTGCAGAAGGTTTGCAAGGAAGGAAAGGTACCTGCCTATTGATTGGAAGAAGGGCTACCTTGTCAAACTTCCAGGGAAGAGAGACCTAAGTCTTTGGAAAAACTGGCGCGGAATCATGCTCCACTCTTGTCCACACCAAGCAAAATATTAAGCCACATCATCCTGGAGAGACTAAAAGGTGTAGTGAAGCAGTTTCCAAATTCCTTGTCAGTCGACGCTGTCAAAGGCCTTCTCAAAGCCGATGAAGTTGAGGTAGAGAGCTGATTGCCATTCTATGCTCTGTTCTATGATGATGCATAGTGTAGCGTTACAATTTGGTCTGCACATGATTTGTACTTCCTGAATCCAGCCTGCCTGTTCGAGTCCAGTGCATTTTAAGCCTCTCCAGGGTGATGCGGCTTAATATTTTGCTTACTCTGGGTGGACAAGAGAGTGATTCGAGCCAGTTCTTGCAAACACTGAGGTCTCCCTTCTTCGGGAGTTTGACAAGGTAACCCTTCTTCCAATCACCAGGTTCCTTCTCTTCCTTCCACACCTTCTGCAATAGTGATGTGAGCATGTCTGCTGTTGTCTCTGCGTCTGTTCTCAATGCTTCTGGCGGTATCCCATCTGGTCCTGCTGCTTTCCCGCATTTCAGCAACTTTATGACGTCCAGGACTTCCACTTTCGTTGGAGGATTTATGTTCACTTGTAATTCAGCGGCTGCAGGTGGTATTTCTGGACGAAGTGCAGGTGGTGGTCGATCCAAAAGCTTCTTGAAGTGGTCGGCCCATCGTTTCCTTTGTTTCTCTTCTTTCGTAATTAAATTTCCTTCATTATCTTTTACTGGTTTCATCTGTGTTGATCTCCTCCCAGATAGCAACCTGGTTATTTGATATAATGTTGTCAGGTCTCTGTCACCAGCCTGCAGCCTGTTCTACTTCACTTGCCAATGCGTTGTGGAAGTGTCTTTTGTCTTTGCGTGCACTCTTCTTCACTTTTTTGTCCAGTGTAGTGTTTTATGCGTTGTACTCAGTTCTTCTTGTCGTTGAGCATCCTTGCACTGCACTAGTTTATCTTCTGCTTCACCATCCTCCTCTCCCTGCTCTATCACCTTCCATGTATCCATTGAGATACATTCCTTATCTTCTTTCTTCTTCCTTCCTAATACTGTTGTGCAGGTTTCTTTTCACATCTCTTTCAAAGACTTCCAGTGTTCTTCCACACAGGTTTCTTCAGGGATGTTCCTCCATATCTCCCATTTTGTCTTGATGGCTCATGTGAAGATTTTCGTTGTAGTTTCCTCCTTCAGTTTCTGAGTGTTGTACTTCAACTGTGGTCTATCACCAACTCCCCTGAAGGCTTTCAACTTGATTTGGAAGGTTCCTTGCATTAGATAGTGGTCTGAACCTACATCCGTTCCCCTTCTTGATCTGATCTTGTGTTCAGTAGGCTGCGTCTCCACTTTCTTGAGATTGAGATAAAGTCGATCTTTTATTTAGTGTGTCCTGGTGTCTGGTGAAATCCATCTCGCCTTCTGAATATCCTTATGTTTGTACACACTGCCTAGCCTCCAATCACCAAATCGCTGAATGCACAGAATTCTGCAAACAATTCTCC